TCACAACTGTTTGAACTAATGCAACTGGATTTCTTCAGAAAGCATTACGTAAACAGCTGCATAATTTTATATTTAAAATAGCATGCCTGTAGTTCCACTCGCTTCTCAACAGTTAAAAATTGAAGACATTTACAAGCTTCTGTGCTATAAGGAGAGTTTTATTACTCAACTCTTGGCAGATGCAGCAATGGGAACAAAGGTCTTTGTGTTTATTCAGCTGCAAGGCTTTGAAGTGAACATGGTCTCTACTTCTCAGGCTTTTGAAGAACACTTACTATACCAACATGAGCACAGTGAAAGCAAGCAAGACCAATTCTTCTCCGTTGCTTGGCCTTGCCGACTTTAATACTGAAGACTGTTAGGTCCTTTTTTATTTTGATTAGAGTAATTAATTGAAAAGTTGTGATTCTTACTTTCTACATAACCTGCAGTCCAATGGAAACCACGTCGTTATAAATCCCATCTTATCAAATAAGGAAAACTGGATTCCTGTGAAGTAACATATGTGAAGACACCTTCAACATTTTTATGCTCTTACAACCAAATTGCTCAATTCTAATAGGATATTAGAAGTTTTAACGTCAAGGTACTCCTCTGCCCCATCCCGCTACAAATTCCCCCAGATTATTCACATATCCTTTTACCATCCCAACATAATACTGCTAAAACTCCTTCCAACACCATCTGTATCTTTGATCAAGCTATGAGTTAGTCAAGGGGTAACACTAATGCCAGAGGAACACAGACACCAACCAGCCAAGTGGCACACGCAGAGCAACTGAGCAAACAGCCAAGCATCAGAAGCATCCTGGCCAGCCAGCTCCTGCCTCCTCATTGCTGGGAAAGCCAAAAGCAATGAGCTGCTTCTTGAACCACACCTCTGACTGTCTCTTGGCTGCTGCTGCTACGCCAAAAAGAAAAAGAACAGCTTTGGGGACAGCATGCAGGCTGTGGGCCATGTGTTGTGCAGACCTGCTCTGTTACTAGTTAGAGAAAGGGAAAGCCAGAAAATATACGCTTTGATAAGCTGGAAGGCAATACTACTAATGTAGTATATGCAAGCACATGCAGATTAAGGGAAGAAAAGACACATGAAACAAAACTGGGAAAAGGCAAACCAGTGATGACAGAAGACTATTAATCAATAGGAAACTAGTTAGTAACAACAGAAGAGGCCAATGGGGGGCAATGAAAAGTTGGCTACCAGCAAAGACCTTAGAGGTAGGAGGAGTGGAAGGATTGAGGCAAAGAGATATTTTTCAAAAAGGGGGAAAAAAAAAAAAAAAAAAAAAGAATTAGAGTAAAAATCCTTGCTACAGTTTGGAAGAAGCAGGATTTTTGAAATGGCCATGGCTCTTTTTCCCCATTGCAAACTGAGCATTGCCATTAATTGCATCTTCCCCACTAATCTAACCCCAATGAGATGCTCTAGATCTCATAAAATTTTCTTCAGCAAATACAAATGAAATCTCAAGAGTCAGAAATATCAATTCTGCAGAAATGTTGACCACTACTCACCTACATTATTTATGATCAAAGAAGCATATCCCTTCCCCAATTCATCATGACACAATCCACTTTTACCTTCCTTCCTTTTGCTGCTTACTTAACACCATAACACAGATTATGCACTGCACACGAAAACACAATGATTGCAAAATTTGGCTATAGCTTTGCTTGAGGCAATTTGGCTCCACTACATACAAGTTACAGTAATGCCAATATGCACAATCACGTACTCTTTTCAACAAACCTGTTTTATTTGCTGCACATGACAAATACATTCTGGAGATTAATTAGGTATAGTCAAGAAGACTCATCTATTGAATCCCTGATGATTACATTGGAAGGTACCTAGTAAATAAAGCGTGGATTGCAGAAAGATTATCTCATGGTAAAAGAAAATGAGCATTACCCAGAAGAGACTGATTCTATTACTACCTTTGCTAGATTGAGGCCAGTTAAGCAACTTGAACCAACCTCTCTATAGGTAGTCATTAACTCTCTTTCTCACCTTCCAGCTGTACAGGTTAATCTAAAAAACTCTGGAGACTAGTTTGCCAGCACTGTTGGGAGGGGCGGGGGGTGTTTGTTTAATTGCCATCCTTTTTATTCCCATGCCTCTATAAAATGCAGACTACTTTATTCTTTCATGAGGAAAGCAATCTACAAGGTCAGATACAATAATTGCAACCTGTACAGGAAAGCGCACTGCCAACTAACAGTCTTCACTAGAAGGATGTGAACAACATGCAGGAGTAAGGCACGGAACAGTAAGATTAACACTTAATCAACTACCAAATGAGTGCTCATTACACATGCACCACGCATCTTGTGTCCTGAGTAAGTCCCACTTATAATTTTCACACTGAAAAAATTATACAATGTTTTGAGGAATACAACTCTCTATAAATAAACTTCAAGGTTGCACCAGCAACCTAAACTTAACATTTCTTAACATCTAACTGTATCTTACTAGGGTTTTCCTAGCAGTGTGTTTATTTGCCTGTCTGTGCAATTTCCCAGTTTTAAAAAACAAGCTGAAAAAGTTTCCTCATATTGCATCACTGATGCATCTATTTGCGTACCACACAGATCCACCAGAGATGACTAAGTAACTCATAGATGGAATTGATGTTTTTGTCTGCAAAAGCCAAACTGAGAGGCTAATGAGATTTTACAGTAGACTTACGATGTTTCATTGATGGCAAAACACCAAATTTCCAGTATCTTTAGTTTGATTCAAGGATCTGGAGAAAAAGGCATGTGGATTTGTTCTCTCCACCCTATTTTGCGCCAACTTTGCCCCTATTTTGCCCCAACTTTGCATTATGCCAACTTGTTTCTTTGTCCCAATTTCTGTGCATTTCACTTATGCAATTCCAGTTCCCATTCTGTGAGTGTCCCACAAATGTAACCTCTCAGCTCCAGTCTCTCTGCTCAATCTTTCCTAGTTCCTTATTCACTTATCTTCAGCTCACTTTCTCTAAGCCCACAGCACATCTTTTCCCTTATACACCTTTCTGCTCCAATTAACACAGATGCAGCTCTCTTTCAGTAAACACAGATCAATTTCCCTGCTGCTTCAATCTGAAGTGGAAGGAA